TGTGTGTGTGTGTGTGTGTGCGTGTGTGAGAGTCTTAAATTAGCAGCAGCATCATAGTAAAAGAATGCAGGTGACGTTTCAGTCTGTGTGGGGTCAGGGGTCAGACAGGCTAAACTGTGTGCATCTGTGCTTACGTGCACGTTTGTATGCCAATATACAGTATGTGCGCATCCTCGATTGTGTCGGTGTCTTCTCTGGGTCAGATGGAGGCTGGTACCATCTGTGGAGGAAATTGGAACAAAAACAAATCTCGTATCACCTGATATATTTTTAGTCTCCCCTACTAACCCAGTGATCCAGATCCATGCAGGTGGTTTGATGTCCATCTGCAACATATATACACACACACACACACACACACACACACACACACACACACACACGTCCTCCTGTGGGAAGTATCTTATTACAGTCAGCTGGAAATGGAGAACAGTAACAGCCAGCTCAGTCTTTGTAGCTAAGGACTGGACCAACTTCACAGTAATTACAGGAAACAGGAGGATGAAATGAAAAAGGAGAAGAAGAAAAAAATAAATTAAAGAGTCTAGAAAGGACTATTGATTAGTTAATTCTGAGGCCATATGGTTGAGGTAGCATCTATAAAGTCGCATTATATGTGAGGTGCTTGTGTACATTTTGGACTGTCACTGAAAAATATTCATACTGCCATAAACTATGTTCTCACAGACGACTGTATACTGTTTATTTATATCTATGTGTGTGTCCAGTATTTAAGGGTTGAAACTGATTTTAAAATATCATCTATTATAATGTTGAAGCGTTTACTGACCTTGAAACCCTCACATCCACTCTCTACAGTCTTCTGATGTATCAATCCTGATGATGGTGAAAGGTCCAGGCCCTGAGGCAGCGAAGCAGCCCCGAATCATGATGCTCTCCACCATTCTTCACAGTTCGGATAATGTTTTTTTAATGTTTGTGAGCGGGGCCCCTTTTCACGCCACACGTAGTGATGTGTGTTCTTCCCAAACGATTTAAATGTTAGTTTCATCAGTCTACAAAATGTTTTCACAGTGTTGTGGAGTGTCAAGGTGCTCTTGGGCAAACTTCATTGCCAGAGATGTTGGGCAGTTATAATATATATAATTCAAGGCAATATAATAATTCCCTCAGACCGTTAGCTGCCACTCTAGGGTTCTTCTTTGCCTGATTGAGGATTATGCATTGTGCCTTTGGAGTCATCTTGGCTGGACACCGACTTCTAGTTATCATCTCCATTTATAGACAGTTTGTGTGGACTGTGAATATCTGATGAACATCGAAAGTCTTTAAGATTTCTTTAATCGTTTCCAGCTTTATCCAAGTCACCTACTTTTGATCGTAAGTCCTTTGAGATGTCCTTTTTGTGAGGCATGGTTCACTTCAGCAGATGTTTCTTGTGAATAGGAAGCTCTAAACAACATCTTCAAATTCTTTTTATTGATTGGACTATGGGATGACATTCTTTTTCCAACACACTGTGAATGTTGGAATGATGTGTTCAGTATAGACAAGAACAACGCAACAATTTGTGTTTTATTCATTAAATCAGATTGTGTGTTGTTCATTTGTGTAACTCAGATGAAGATCAGATCATGTTTTAAGACAGATGTAATTCCAAATATGTCACATACTTTTTCTTGCCACTGTGTGTGTTTCTGCTTTGTCCTTGTTTCCTCTGTAGCTCCACCCTGATTCAACAGTCAGTCATCACTGAGGTTCACCTGCCAGGGTCAGAGAGAGGGTCTTGCAGCGTGGGCTCAGCCCTGGATTCTGTCTTTTACTTTTAACAAAGTCCAGGTTTGGGTGGTTTTATTCAGGTTAGTGGTGTTCAGTGATTTTTTCGTCGTATCTGATCGTCAAACGATTCATGTATATTTTGGCTTCATGGGGGAAGAAAAATGGAGCTGAGATCCTTTCATTTCAGTGGGAGTGTGTTAAATAACGGATAAGCATCTCACACAGTTGAATGTGAAAAATCAATTGATACTTTTATGGATCAGTGGAACCGTATTGCTTTCCATGTGTCTGATGCCTTTCTAAGAAAAAAGATTCACCTAAATGCGAACATTTCGGTCAGATAGACTTCATCAGTCAATAACTTGTTCTCCTCTCTGCTTTATACACCTTTTTATGGACTATAGCATTCGTACATCGTCAGATAAATGTGTATATATATATATATATGTATATATATATATATATGTATGTGTGTGTTTGTGTTTGTGTTTTTATCCATATGTTAATATTTGCAAAGCTCATTCTACTCTAGTTGCATTAGTTCATGTACATTTCATCTCATGTAATGTTGAGAACTGTATATGTTGGCTGTTCATCAGTCACTTTATCTCCTTTTGTTCTTGCTTTGTGGTTTTAAATGTTACTGTTCATTTTCTTAGTCTATTTTTTTTATATTTACTTTTGGAGAAGCACTTTGTACTTGCCCACTTTGACATTATCATATCTTAGATGTAGTTTGTGAATAAGTTTGCTTGATTTAAGAAAATATAGTGTGACAGCAGATATAAAGTTCAAACAATGTAGGTTTCATTATATATATATATATATATATATATATATATATACAGTATATAACAACATGGCAGCAGTGCAAGTGTATATAGCTATAGTGTTGTCTATGGTCAGGAGAGTTTAAGGGCCAAGATAAGAACCTGTGATAACATGTCATCTGACTGAGAACAGTTATTCACGTGAGGTCGAGTGACCCTTCACACACACACACACACACACACACACACACACACACACACACACACACACACACACATTATCTTCTCACCTCTCATTTCTCTTCCTTCAACACCATCAGTGTTTTATCTCTCTTACTCCCTCTATACTTGTTTCATTATAACTCAGCAGCCCCCTTCCCTATGTGGTATCAAAAGATCATGGGACATGTCAGGGAGGGAGTGTTAACAGTGTGGTTTTGGCTATGGAAAGCAGAGCAGTTAAACATAAATTTAGCACCATGTGTTCCATAATTCACATGTTTTTGAAGCTCTTGAAGTAAGCAAAGGGTTTCAGGTTATAGAAAACATAAAAACATATAATTACACATTCACACCTCATCATGGGTAACATGCCCATGAAACACTTTATATTGTGTTGGAAGACGGGGATCCTTCCTGAGCCTGGTTTAGTCATGTCTGATCCCAGTGGCCCAAAGGCCAAACTCCCATGAGACGAGGGGGGGGAGAGGTTCAGCAGCTGTCGCTCCCTCACCTCCTCGATTGGCTTGGCCTCACGAGACACTCCTCTCATCTTTTAGCCCCTCTGCTCTCTGCTGTTGCTCTCCCACAGTAAGCGACACACAGAAACGGAGGGAGAGCCCTACAGATAGAGGGAAACAGCTGATTCAGAGCTTCAAGCTGATTTAGACCAGGAGTGAATCCCACAGCAGAGCAGGTAGAGGCCTGGCAGGCAGTGGGTTAGGAGGCTGCTGGGGATTTCCATGTTTAGACCCTGCTGACTGCTACTGCTGCTGTTCCCAGTCTCCTGAGAGATCGAGCCGGACCCCTCCCCCTTATTCCTCTAACCTGCCCAACTGTTTTCAAGTGGTCCAACATTAAAAGGTGCTGCAGCTTCATGCACTACTGCTGTTTCTGTCCTCACTTTACGATTTGATCTCTGCAGACGACACATATCCACCTCTGTTTAATTCTAGATACCAGCTCTCTGCACACTGTATCTGCTGAAACACACCATGCAGAGTCCCCACTCAGCTGATGCAGCTGCTCAGCAGCAAAGGTGAGTAATAGACTTCCTTTATCTATTTTTGAATTGGAACTACTGCAGTGTCTGTTCTTAACCTGCCTGTTTAGGATGTTCTGTTCTCTCGTCTTGTATTAATGCTCCAAAGCTACTTGAGAATTACTCCTTGTCATTAGTGAGTCCTCTTCAAACTGTTCTATATCCTATTTATTGTTTGTGTGCTCAATGTCAGGTTGAGGTTTTTTTTTTATAAACAGTCTATGGTGCAGAGTGAAGTTATAAAATGTGTTCATCCTGCCTGGTTGATCAGCAAAGAACATTTTCTGGTCATTGTTTTTCATAAAATGAAACAGAATTCTCTTCATTGCTGTTCATGTGTGTGGTTTATACATAAGTTTTAATGATTTACTAAACTGCTGTTATTTTTGCTTTTTCAATTCCAGAAATCGATTAAGCAACTGACAAAATCTTCAAACCCAAGTTCACTAAAAGCTCTGTACAGCAGCTCGATAAAAAGATTTGCAACAAAACAAACATCCTTTCAGTTTTTAAACAAATTCCCGAACAGGAAGTGATTCTACGAGCATTGTTGTCATGACAGAGATCAGCACCTGTGCTGTGTGTCTGTGTCTCAGTCCAATGTGGTGAAATCAAAATGCAGTAGTTTATCCGAGGACGTAGAAGACGATATCTTCATCTGGGTCCAGAGACTGAAGGCACACTACCCGCCCCCATTTACTGCTATAGAGCACTGGTCCCTGTTTATTCAATTTTTATTAATAATAAATTATCATGTGCCCACTATACATTTCCCTGGGCATGGGAAGTTCAATGGGTAGCAAGACCAACAGACAGACAGGTAGACATACATTTGATGAATTAGTAGCAAAACACTTTTCCAATCCTCTTGAAACACTTGCAACTATTAAACCAAGGAGAGACAAAGTGCACAAAAGACGTAGCAAACGTTTCCCCATCTGTAATCAAGACTCTAAATCAGATTCATTTTAAGGAAAGGAAGATAGTTTTTCTTGCTTATTGTAAGTTGCTTTGGATAAAAGCAATTAAATGATATGAAATGTAAATGTAATGAATCTGAAAACAAACGTAACCTTACGTCAAACTCTTCAGTGTGTCCCTCCGACCAAACAGAAATCACACCTGTGGTCTGTATTTTCAGACATGACGTGGTGCGAACTCTCTCAGTCCAGTCGTTATCTAAGCAGCTGGGTTGCATAGTTATCAGGTTGCAGGAGGACATACTCCAAAATGATTTAGAGCTGAGTCAGAAATAGTGCAACTTCCGACGCTGCTTGCGTGCTCTTGTCCAGGCAGCAGGACAAGTTTCCATTGCAGGTCGAGTCAATGGGAAACTCCAAAAGTAGCTCAACTCTCCCAGCTGCCCCCAGCAACACAACACTGGCACACACTCACATGCACTTGCCGTTCGGGCAGTAAAGCTAAAGACTAGAACCAGGTTTTTCATGTGACATGCCTGTGCACGTGTGTTTGTGTGTAGGAGTGAAGCTGGGTCATCTAATAGTTTCAAAGCCCTTGGATGCCACGAGCAGCTGGATCCCAAGGACAGCCTACACTCTGAGGACCCCAGAGAATACTGTTATGGTAGGGCAGAGACTCTCAGCTCACTCTGTCATCTGCACAAGTGTTCATTTGCTGCTGCCAGAGTCACTATGTTTTTACACGCAGCCTCTCTGTCCCTTTAGAGCAGCTCGCTGTGAGTCGAGCTAAATGATTTGTATCCAGTGGTATGAATGAAGCAACTGGAGCTGGGCACCTCTACATTCTACTGCATATATGATGTGTCAGACATATCAAGTTGTAGTTATATTGCTATGCAAACAGTTGTAGTACTATGTAGCACAGCTAAAAGAAATAATCATATTACTTTGTTTTGAGCTGATATGGACTCGCGCATCATTTTTTTCCTGTGTCCCGCCTGCAGATATTAATCAAACAAATTCATATTGACGACAAAATCATTTTGCCTAGTCTATTATTAGATATCTGCTGTCTCTGTCTCCTCAGGTGGGTACCACCCTGTCCAGATCGGGGACACCTTCAACAGAAGGTATCAGGTGGTGTCTAAGCTCGGCTGGGGCTATTTCTCCACCGTCTGGCTGTGTCTGGACCTCAGGTAGGGTTATCAAGTTTAATTTTAGGGCTGAGGACAGGGGTTGTATCCAATCTTATATCTCACTTTCCCCTCATTTAGAAAAAAAAAAATTCTTAATGAGGGGAAAGGTAAATATGTTTATTTAATATAGCAACATTTTATGGACTACTCAATTAAGGTAAAATCATGGACAGTAATGGTAGATGAGGTGTGTACAGAAATATTTATATCCATTTTGTCCAGTTTCTGTACGTACGCATAGGTGTACAGATTATATGCATACGAGATATGTAACTGCAAAAATAAACAGAAGTTAAAAAATAAAGAAGAAAAACATACCAGAATAAATCATATCATACTATATCAAATCATATCGTACCGTGACGTATGGCATTGTAACATACTGTATTATATCAGATTGTATCATACATAACCACCCCCCTTACCTTTTCCAACCTCCTTTCACCCTCTGATCTTTGTGTACAATTTCTTCCACAAATACAAAGAAATAATTGAACACAAAATGTTGAGCTTTTTGATTGTAATGATTATTATTATGCCTTTCTTATAAAAAGGTTTTAAGATGGTCCAGATGTAAGAGCATGTTTGTATGACTCTAAATCACAGCTCCTCGTGGACAGTTGTATTCTGATGTGGTGTCTATGTCAGCAGGCTTAGTCGACACGTGGCTGTGAAGGTGCTGAAGAGCGGAGAAGGCTTCACCCAGGCTGGACAGGATGAGCTGGCTCTCCTACGATGTGTAAGTGACCTTTTTCTAGTTTTTTTTCCACTCTAACACATCTTTCTCGTTCTGACAATTCTTTTAATTTACTCAAGTTTACTCCCCAATAACTCACCTCCTGCTCCTCCTCTTACTCTCTATTATTCTCTCTATTCTTCTTCATTGTCTTCCTCATCTTCCTCTCACTCCTCCTCTCTGTCATCAGGCCTGTGGTCCTTCGAGCCATCATCCCTCCAAGCAAAGGATTGTTCAGCTGCTTGATGACTTCAAGCTGGCAGGGGTCAACGGGGTCCGTATCCTATTTACAGCCTGTCATTTCTAAACCTGACACTGAGTGCTGAGGAGTTATAATGCTAGAGGTGTGTGCTTGTGTACAGTATATGTGTGTCTACAGTATACTAAGTAAATGTATTTTGTAAAGCATGTGTCTCTGTATGGTTGCTCACTGATACAGTACAGTACATCATACAGTAGTATGGTTTGTAATTCCTACCTTAATACCCGGTGGTTAGACATGTGCCTGGTGCTGGAGCTGCTGGGGCCTGACCTGAGATGCTGGCAGCTATGTTTTGAGAATCCAGGACTGTCAGGACTGTGGGTCAAACAAATTCTTACTCAGGTAAAGTACAAGATATAGTAGATAACAAAAGTAAAAGCATCCTCGATTAAATTATTATCTGATTGGCAGAAGAAAATTAATCATACTGAGAATTTGCTGCATTTCACTGAAAGGACTGGAATCCCACTGAAATATTGTGTTCTGCTGCAGTTGATTAAATATTTCATAACTGATATTTAAATCCAAATACCTCAAATAAATGTCATAAATTGTTGTACATTTTGTCAAAGACAGGTAATTCTTACCAAGGGATAGGTTAAAGCTGCTGCACACTAGAAGATAATTGGGCTGATTTTAGACCTGATTTGCAGTTTCCGACAATCATGGGGAGTGTTCCCGACTGGAGGTCACTTTGTGCCGATTATATGCCAAATAATCCTGCAGTGTGGGGGGTTTACAAAATAATAATAACAAAACCTCCCGATCTCGAATCATAAATATCAAACATGATTCTATCAATTTCTTTTTTTTTTCCACTGCAAAACAGAACACTCAATGTCAGTCCTCCTCCATGTTTTCTTCTGAAGTCACGTTTAATCATAAGTGTTCCACACTCCGGTTCAGAAGGTGGCAGTAATGCGCCTTTAAGTTGTTTGTCAACAACCATAAGAAATACTGAAGAAGAAGATCTCGCAAGTTTCTTTTCAAAAATTGGTCAAGAGTTGAGGAGCGTCTCTGCAGCAGCCCTTAGCAGATTGATAACATTGTGTGTCTGTATGCTTAAATAAAACTACAGATGGTTAGCTTAGCTCACAGGCATGAGACTGGTATCAGTCATTTTATTAAGAAGTCAATGAGTGTATTTTTCTGACTTCATCCAACATTGTGGCTTTGACACGAACGGAAACCAAAAACAACAGTTAAAGAAAGATGAGGCTACCTGATTCTTATTTTCAAATAGTGTCAAGGTAATCATGGGCAAGGGAAGAGTTTAGTACTGGTTGTATAGCTATAGCCATTCTGTGTTTTCACTAGGTTCTGCAAGGCCTGGACTACCTGCACACTCGGTGTAAAATCATCCACACTGACATCAAGCCAGAGAACATCATGCTATGCCTGGAGGAGCAGTCTCACAACGTGCCAACAGGGGGCAGCAGCTCCACCTCTCTAACGACAGGGAAGAAGTCTTCGTCCAAGTCCACAGGCACAGTTGGTTTTGTTGTTGCTACAAATGCTGGAGACTTTAAGAGCAAATGATCTATTTTAATTCTGAGCTGCAAATATGTTTACGAAGCAGACGTTATGGTTTTAATTAGCACCGTGTGCTGTGTACACTACCAAGGTAGGTGGTCTTTTGAAAATGATAGGTCCTAATACAGTTAAATATAAGAGAATGTTTCTCAGAATAATTTAAACTGTACTCAAGCAAACACATATCAGAGATGAACTAACTAACCGTTCAGTAGTTCAATGTGGCACAAAACATTTCCTCTTGGAATGAATAAGATATTGTAATATATGATTTATTGTTTCTTTCAGAGAAGGAGCCTGTGAACCCTTCCAGCTTAAAGGAAATTAAAGTGAAGATTGCTGACCTGGGCAGCTCCTGCTGGGTGGTCAGTAGTTTATACTCTATACTTTACATACGGCCACTGTAAAGTTTGATAAATGTGTGTAGAAGTGTATGTTTGTGTTTGTTCAATAGACCTACACGAAGAGTCCATCTCTTCAAATAGTCAAATAACTCAACTAATAATGACTCAAATAACCTAAATATGAATTTTAGTTTATATTGTTTATAATAACTGCATTAAAATATAATTTGAAAACAATGTGACACAAGCCAGGTTTCAAATGTAAAGCAAATTATAACCAATCATTGAGAAACTGCAGATTAATTAGCATTTCTATCTCATACTGTTATTTGGTCGAGAATATTACCTGAATCTGCAGCTTCCTTCAGCTTTTACCATCCAGCTTAACCTTCCTGTTCTGGTTCACTCTCACCGCTCTCATAGCTTTGTCTTTGACTGCAACTGGAAGCTGTTCTCAGAACTGAACTAGTCACTATGTGCTCAGCACCAAACAGCAGACAGACAGGGCCTAGCTCCTGAACTGTGTTCTTACAGTGTGTCTCTCATCTAAAGAGGACGAAAACAACTGCAGTTATTGTAGGTAGTATTTGTCAATGAGAAAAGCAGAGAAAAACACAAGTTACAGAAATCTCTGTCATCAAGAAATATCATAAATGCTGTGTTTAATTAGGACCTTATTGCTCATGGTGAGAAGGTGAAAAAGAAAATAGTGACTGCAAAAAAACACTGGTGGATTAAGGCAATGCTACTTGAACCCTTGGCGTGGGTTTGCAGTTGTTTTCAGTACAGTGTTTTATATGCTTATGCTCTCTGCAAATTTACTCTGTAAAAAGTAGAAACCCAGCTATCTTACACATAAAAATGAAAAACTACAATTTAACTTGTTCCCCCTGCTCTATCTGTCTTTCTCTCTTGGCCCAGTACAAACATTTCTGTGAAGAAATCCAGACGCGACAGTATCGCTCACTAGAGGTTTTACTGGGATCTGAGTATGGTCCGCCTGCTGACATCTGGAGTGTCGCCTGCATGGTGAGGGGAAAACCATTGAAAGACTGTCTCTGCACCATACTGCACAATGAAGCTTGATTAAGTAAACTCTAACTTTACACAGTATTTCACAGTTTTTACATTTTTTCCTTGAGTTTTTGTTTCTTATGAGAAAAAAACTAATGAGATCCCCTTTATAGATGTTGACTTTCTAACCCATTCATTTTCTCTTGTGTTCTCTCAGGCCTTTGAGTTTGTCACCGGAGACTCGCTGTTTGAACCCAAAGCCCGCGAGTCCATTTCCCTGGAGGAAGGTAAGTGTCTATTACAGTGTGACAAGTACTGGCACAGGATTAAATGAGATTACACTGTAGCTGCATTGTAATTGCTGCGCAGTGCATGCTAGTGTGTAGTGTAGAATTGAGTGTCTCGAGCTTTCATGTGTGTGTTTGCTCTCTCCGTCCTTCTCAGACCACATAGCCCAGATCACAGAGCTCCTGGGAAAAATCCCACCAGCTGTTGCCTTGTCGGGCAAATACTCAGCAGATTACTTTGGACGCAGAGGTGAGACTCCTCCTTAATTTGGATTTTGTTAGGTTGTATTACTTCACTTACCTTCTTCAGTGCAAATCAGTTAATTGATTGATTATTGATTGCAAAACTACTTGCACCAGGGAGGTCTTGTTTTCACCCCTGACTGATTGTTTGTTAGGTTGTGTGTAGCAGGCTTACCAGAAAAACTACGATGGTTTTTCTTTTCAACATTTTCTATGTTTTCCTTGGGAATATATAATGGACATTTAGTGGACTGATATACTGATGTGCAATTTGTTGCAGCTCGGTTGAATTTAAAGGGACTGTTGGGCCTTGGTGGGAGTGCATTTCTGGTTGTGGTCATCCTTGCATGACACCAAATATCTTCCTCACCAGGTGACCTACGTCGTGTCGGTCCGCTGAGGCTCTGGAGCCTTTATGACGTTCTCGTGGAGAAGTATCACTTCCGGTTGGAGGAGGCCTCTGGTTTCTCTGACTTCCTTCTTCGCATGTTGGATTATCATCCTGAAAAGAGGTCCACTGCTGCAGAGTGCATTCACCACCCCTGGCTGACCTCATGATAGACCAGAGGAAGGCCATCCACATGGGCCTCATCCCCATCCATGATCCTAACAACCAGATCCTGTCAGTAGCAAGAACTACATCATTTTAGGGCATCATTGAATTTTTAGAAAACACTTTGTTTGTTGCTTTATTTGAAATCCTGTTGTCGTCCTTACTCAGTGTCAGGGAAGGAACAGGTTATCCTCTCTAGTGAAGCCCTGCTGCGCACAATACTTTTCTTGTGTAGCTACATTTTACTTTTGGACCCTTGAGTCCAATAAGTAGCAGCTCTTATGACACTGTGAGCCAGTGTGACAATGTGAGTTTGATGCAAACCTTGAGTGCAGCTACTTTATTATTCAGTCAAATTGAATGTCACCTAAGTAATCAGAAGATGACACTAAATGGGATTTGAATTTTTTAGTATATCTTTTGTACAGGGCAATAAACTGCTTTTATAATTAATGACAGAATAATTGTAGCGCAAGTGTAAGTCTATCGTAAATCTATTTTATATAAATTAACCCAGATTAAAACAGTTTTTAGTGAAAACATTTTTATTAGAAGGATTTAAAATCTGTAAAGGAACAAACTAATAAAATGAAATATAAAGGAGGCTGTCATAAGATATACTTCCTCAGAATGTTTTATTTAAAAAAATAAAGTATCACTTAATATTTCATAAAGGGAGAAAGGTCCAAACATGTTGTGTCAGAGCTCCTCCTGCTGTTTTGGGGTCTGTTTGGTGCTCCACTTATTTTCCCTCATGCAGAAAACCTTTATCTCACGTGTTTCTGGCTCCTATAATCAACACAAGGAGGAATCCTTCACTCTGTTTGAAATAGTTAAAGCTGCACTTTACAAACGTTTCATGTAAACAGTGGATGTAAGAGGTGGTCACTCAATCCATACAGAGATGTTTAAGCTCTTATGCTGGTGCTGACTAAAACGTGAGCCATGCTAACTTTTGAATCTGACGATGTTATGTCAGTGGTCATATAAAAACAACTTTATTCGAAAACATTGCCCACTCTAAGTAATTCACTCATTACTCATTATGTCCAATCAGCCTTTAATAACAGGCCATATAAAGTTCAGGCTGTTGGTAACATTAGCTTCTTTAATACCAATATAGGTTACCTCCATTTTCATGACCAGACTGTTGTTTATATGAGGTTCACTGTGTTGTGACTGTGCTGCTGCTCATGGTTAATCTCGTCATCAGGGTGTGAATTTCCGATCTGATGAGATGATCAGCATCAGACCAAAATTGTGGTGAACATAATCTGTGGCCACTGTGCTTTGTCATGCTACACTTAACTGTGCCGACCTTTGAATTATTCACAAAAACACTCAAGACATGAAAAAAATGAATAAAACATTGTCGTCCGAGAAATCTACAAATGATGGCACTCTAATCTTTAGACCATAAGAATCAAATAATGATTTGACTTGTCCTCATTTAAACATATTACAATAATACCATTACGGTAATTATGTCCAAAAGTAATGTACATATTATAGATCATACATTATCCACATATTTGAATCATTCAAAGTTAGATGTCCCAGTGAGTCATCCTATCCAGCTGTAGGCTCGGCACACCACCAGTGGGTTTTCTTTATAAACGACTGTGTAACCGCACTGCGTCCTGACCCGACGACACTTCTTAGGCCACGAGGTGGGCTTGTTTGGCCTGGAGGGCACGAGGAGAGGCGAGGAGAGGACACAAGGGAGAGGAAAAGAAAGTGACAAGGAGAGGAGAGATATCATTGAGAACCACCGAATGCCCACAGGCAATGCTTCATGTAACCAAAATCAATTATTATGAGCTGATGTGAATAGTACTCACGCAAAGCAGTAGAATCCAGAGTCATGACAGAAGCACTTGTCACAGCCTCGGCGGAAAGATTCCCCTGGTTTGTACAACTTGTCTTTGTGTGAGCAGACGCCTGTGGACGAAAGGAAATGAGCGATAAGGTTTCTCCCAGCATTCCTCTCCACTTCACCTGCTGGGTGAATATGTGAAAATGTCTTTTATAAGGAAACCTTGCAGAGGCTATAAATGTCCGTCCCTCTGGCAGAACACATAAAGCCCTGGTGCAAGAGGTCAGGCACATTAAAGGCTAAATCTATCATCCACAGCAAGTTCCCCCCCCCATTCCTGCATGCTGGTGCTATCCTCATGGGGAAGTTCTGTCACCTTGAGGATGGAATCAATAGGAACGCACTGATCTGCTGTGAAGAGCCCCACAGGGCTGAATGCATGGTCAGGGTATAGAGGACAAAATCTGTGGTCAGCCAGTTTGGGTAGGTTTAGCGGCCGAAGGTATAAATCACAAGTCACAATGAAAGTTTTGATTTATGCTCTCAGGGCGAAATGAGCAACCCAGGTGCTGGTTGGGGAAAATATTCTGAGAGAAATCGAAGTAATTCTTACCTTTTTTGTGGTATAGAGACGCTTCTGAGCATCTGCTGTTCAACAGAAGGATGAGGGACAAGCAGACAGCAAACACCCGCGACAGAGAGCAACCGTGAATGTTACTCACTGAATGCAACATGGTGAAAAAAAAATATTTAAAGAGACAATGGTCAAGTCTTCCAGCCTGCTTTTTCAATCTCTCTGACTCTGGTTTTAAAAATGAGATGGTTTCATCACTTTAAATCTTGCGTGACTGTCGAGTCCAATCCAGTAATATCCTTGTGATCGCCCAGTAGATCGTAGTAGGCTAATATTTATAGTCTCACATCTTTACTGGGCAGAAAGAAAAGAAGAGGAAAAAAAAAAGCGTCCACATGTTTTGTTCTCTGGTTTCTCTCCGGCGTCCAACTTTTGTTTCAGAGCGAGGTGTGTTTGGAGTTTGGCTGTGTATCCATGCATCACTAAATATTACCTTTGGGCCTCGCTCGCTGTGTAAGGCAGCGTGGGTGCTCCAAACGGACGACCGATTGGTTCAGCGCTGGCCTCCAACCAGCTGCACTTTTTTAGATTTCTGTATCTTTGTATCTGTGTCTGTCAGAAACCAACCTTCATTTTAACTTTTTCTCTTGAACACACTATACACGTTACCCTTCCTCTAACTCTGTCTATTGCTACGAAAGATAAACCTTTCAAACTAAACCTTTTACAGTGACATTTTCAAAATACTAGAGCGGTGTGTGTTCGGAATGGGCTGTTTGCTTGCCCTGTGGTAATGCCGGTTGCATGATTGATCAGACTCTGTGTTTTTAAAGTCAGTGTTTTTCATAAAATGAAACTCAGTTTGCCTTATTTCTGTTCATGTGTGGTTTATACATTCGTCTTTCATGTTCCAGGTCTGTTAAACTATTGGAACAATCTTCAGACCAAACTTCACAACCTTTCAAAATGAAAGCTCTGTAATTCCACTCGATTTAAAAAGCGAATATATGCTTTTACTTCTTGGACAATTTCCTAAAGAGAAAGTGATTTTATCAATGTGGTTGCCATGACAGAGATCAGCTCCCGGGACACCTGTGAATGTCTGTCTCAGTCTGATATGGTGAAATGATACCCAAATTTTCAAAATGATCTGGCAGGACAAACATTATTTCGGACCAGATTTGGAACGCTGGCCGCCGATTGCCGAACAATGCTGTGGTTTCTCTGGGGATGTAGAAGAAGACATTTTCAGCTCAGTCCACAGACTGACTGAAATTAGTAAACATAGATAACACTTTGAACAGATGTAGGAAAATGGCTTGAGTCATATGAAACTGCATCATGAAACATGCAAGGCAACTTATCCCTTAAGAGTACAAGGGTTCCTCTCTTCACAACCTTGGACTTTGGCATCCGGTTTTTCAGACAGATCCATGAAATGGAAAGAGAATCATGGATTGCAAAGTACATTTTGTGCTTTTAGCTGTTTACATATGCTGCAGTACACATAGCATGAAGTAAAGACCACAATATTGCCAAAAAGTATTATAGGCACATATTTTTAAGCTGTATGTAACTTCGCTCAACCGCAACATTAAACCAGGTAAATGTTTTAAAGCTGTGGCAGATCAGTGTACATCTAGTCATTCATGTGGAAACATTTCTCACATACTTGAGGGCAGAGTCAGCAAGTTTCCAGCTGTAACTGCATGTGTGTATAGATGGAGGAGAAGTGCAGATCGACCTATAGAGGAAACTCTGTCTCTCTGTGTCTCTGTCACACACAAACACAGGCGGGCTGCACTGGATGTGTGACTGACCGCAGGACAGTTTGCGGACACTCTCTTCCTTCCTGACAGCCTCTGGCCATTGACCAGTCGGCACACCACGCTCTGACTGAGGAGAAAACAAACCGGGACATCAAGGGACTGGAAGGAACTTGTAGTGGCCGAGGGGCTCCAGCAAGAAACCGCCACTGCCTCTACGTCAACCCATTTAGTCATACAGGAACAGTTTCAGGGTGTTCGGTGGTTTGGTTGCTCGCACAGGGTGTGGAGGTCGGTGTGGTTGATATTCGTCGAGTTCCCTGATCTATGAGTGTTATTTCTGCTCAGTATATAAGTGCAAACTTTAAAAGTGCAGAACATTTTGAGTCAAACTGTTTGAGTGTTTGTTTTAATCTGAAGTAAAATAGTATGTGTTGAAACATTATGCCAACTGATTTAAAATGTGTATTCAAATTTCACATGGATTTCGTTTTTCCTCAGTTTAGTTGTTCTCTTGTCGTTTCTTGTGTTGCGCTATTTCCTGTTTTATTTTGACCTTTACTTCCTGTTTCTCCTCTTTCTCATTCTTGGTCAATTCACTTCCTTTTGTTTCCTGCTTCCTTGATGACCTACACCTGCACCCTGATGTGTCACACCTGTCTTGTTGTGTCCCATCCTGTGTTTCTCCCTCTGTGTTTAGTCTGTTTGTATCAGTGTATAGGCAGGAAATAGCAGTTTCCTGGTTTTCAAAGTGTTTACTTTTGCCTCTGTGTTTTGGACACTGCTTCCCAGACTGGTTATCTGTTCACCCGACCTGTAAGTCCTATCGAACACTGTTTCATTCATCCTCATCTGCATATGCATCTTATTCTAACCTTGAAAGCGTCAGACTTATAAAAAAGGAAGGATAAGGCGTACCTTATGGAAGTATCTGCTGGACTACTGGCAAAGCAGATGCAGTGTTTTCTATAGGGAGAGGGGCTCCGTTTACCACAGTCTTGAGGCTTTTAAACTTTGCAGACCTTTTACATAACACAAAAACACTTATATACAAGAGGAATTGGAAAAAGTGATGATAGCCATGTTTCTCTGAGCCACATCCTGCATGACTTGCACCGAACATCTTCCCTTCTGAGTGGACCTGCAAGTTAAATATCCTGATAGATGGCTGACTGTCACACAGTGTGGTGGGTCGAAGTCAGCAGATTCTACGTGAGCACTGACTGCCTGTGGTTGGTTGGACATAAACAAGTGAATGAGGTTCTGTAACAGTGTGTGTAGGTGATGTAGGTCTCTGTGCTTCTGAGGGCAGCAGAAAAGGACCACACAGACATCCAAACTGCTGAAGATCACAGCGTTCTGACAAGGTGTCCACAATAAAATATCATAAGCTTTATATCGCTCTTGTTTTCATAGATTACTTTATCTAATCTGCAGAAACCTGCTCCTGTGGATCCACACCTGGGATTGGAAAAAGTGGCAATGTAGTTGTGTAAAGAAAAAACTGTACTCTTTCCACATGTCATTGTATTCATTTATTCTTATGCTATTTTTATATCTAGTTATATAGTTTATTCATAGTATGCTACACATTAGTCCAGTAATTGAAATGGCAGCCTAGAAAAATACTTTTAACATTCAAGGATTCAGATGTTCCTCTTGGCAACAACATGACTCAAAATTATGTGATTCACAAAGTAGACATTAGTAGAATTGGGAACCGTGACCTGGCTGCTGAGGCACCAACCATGAACTGCACTGTTCATGCTGCCTAGACAGTTGGTGCATGTTCCATGTCCTTTCTGTTTGAAAAGAAAGAAGCAATGTAGCCCTGACAAGCTGCCCTGCTTTGCCCCAGACTGAGCTCTCTCAACCAAGCCGGATGGTTTGTCTTTGCTGTGAAATTGTGTGCACACAGTTACTGACCCCTCATGAATAATTGTAAAAACTTAAATCATTAAGTACAGTTAGAGCATTTAAGGTGCATTGAACAAGTCCATTGACATTTATGCCATTCAGCCTCTCAGTGTTAGTGCAGCTAATTCACTGTAGTGGTTTTTTGTACATGAATGCTACAGTTAAAAAAGTAGTCTAAGGGCTAGATTCTTAATTCTTCATGCAAAAATACCATATGCTGTTTTTAGGGTTATAAATGATGCTAATAATTTTGATTCTGGTCATGATACATAGTAATTCCCACAACATAATTTATACTGAATTGTTGGTTTATGGTAGATAAGAGAAGAATGAGGTTCTAAACAGAGAGAACAGAATAATTAACCACTCTGAACCATTTTTGCTGATCGGTTTGACTGAACTGAATCTGGAGGATTCTGTGATGGCGAGCCATGCCCCTCAGACTGTGGACATGCGAGCGGTGTGCTAAACCATGAAATCTGTCCGTGGAAGATGTCTGACCAGCTCAATCCATTCATTCGGACACAGATAAGAACACATGCACACTGTGTGGTTGTGGTGAAACATTCAAGTCACACATTTACAATTAAGAATAAAGTCTTGGATTTTACACATTTTTTGGATAGAAATTGCCATGTGAAGTATTCACTGTGCACAATTGTATCCACTCCTCCCATTGGCTACTCAATGAAAACCACTCTCACCACCATAGTTAAGCCGACACAGAACCCTACTCCGTACCCTGATGTGCTCCCCCCCAAAATGTAACTACGCATGGAGGCAACACAGACCACAGGAGCTGTTATTGTTCCACTTGGTAGCATCGCATTTCCAGCAGACAATATTTTTGGAATCTCCTGTTTCACCTCACATGGTTTAATGGTCGTACAGACCATCTCCTTAGACAGCTTTCTTCCTCTTTGCAGTTCTTTAAGAAAAATTGCTCTTTAACATCTATCAGCTCCAATTTTATTTATAAACAAGGGGACCAGAAACTGGAAAAAACTTAACACAGTAGCATAGAAAATCTACATCCACTGTGGTTTCGGCCCCACGCCCCCTAGTGTTTCGGGGGTGTAATTGCAGAGTGACGCACACACACCTACACACAACTATGAATATAAGACAATGAAGACAATGAAAGCAATTGCACAACAAGAAAGAAAAAGAAGTGGTTGTTGCAGTACAATAGTTAGTGTATGTATATATTAGAGTGTAGCTTTGAGTGTAGCTTATGATCAATTCACAGCATAGTAGCCTCGAACGTAGTTTGCTTTCTTTCTGGAAACCAGGCGAAAACAAAATGCTCATGTCTTCCAAGCCACTTGTGTCCACATGCTAACGCCTCTGTTTATTGAAGTTTGGGTGCACAGAATGACATGTATGATCAGTAGCAAGCGTTGACTGACATCAGTCCAGTGCTGGTCCAGAGGAGCTGGTGCAACGGACAGTGGGAGCTGTCAGGGCAAACAATTGGACCAAACAGTGTGAGGAATTAAATCATCAGCTTTGGCTTCACATCTCAGAAGATTTTCTCGTATAGGGTGAGGTGAAATTTAACATCAACATCATCAAGTCATAGTTTACGTCCAGCTTGACATATATCTGTGAAGATCCAACATCAAGCTCGTATCTTAAGGAGTTGTACAGGAGTTGTATAAGTGTACATAGGAAACTGGACTTGCTTGTGTTTCTTGCTTGTATTGAAGATAATCATTAAAAACACAGTAGTAGCATTATGTAGTTCATAGATTGGGCCTTGGTGGGCTACCAGCCCGTTTGATGTGATGAAACAATACTCTATCATTTGGAATCGTCTACAGTCGGGCTTTGATTGTTACCGGTTTTGTTCAACTTCAGATTCAGCTCCAAACCTAAATGGCAGGTTTCTAAAAGTAGCACGTTGTACTGTAGTGGAGCCAGCTTCATGGTGTCTCATCCTACTTCACAAATGGACACAACACAGAGCTCAGTGAATCACAATGCTGGGTGACCAGTGTGGTAGTGTAACTAAAGGCAGACCACACAGAAGATGAAGCCACTGATGAATTACAGGCACTTACTGTGACAGGCTGTGGATTCCAAGTCTCAGGCGGTCTCAGCCTATGCCACCCTCTTAGTGTGCGTCTGTGTGCAGTTGCCCCGTCTGATATTTCTGGTTGTGTGACTCACTCTTATTGCTACCAACTAAGGATAATGCTAATTTCATAAATAGTCCAGTTTCAACCACAACAAAGCAATATATAAGATGCATGTAATCTACACAGTTAAAGAGGGTGCACCATATTGATCCAATTCACTTTTTGTCGAATTCTGCTAAAATCTCTTTACAGGCTGCTGGATGTACATTCTGTGGGTGCACTTAAACCACATCCAGTATTTGCTGACTCTGTTCGCTGAACGTGTAGTTTGAGTAAATACAGAGGATGTTTTTTGTCTACAGATGATGCTAGTGTCTGTAGTGGCTGATTCCACCTTGATGATGCATTGCATGAAGAGGGTGGAGCTCCTGAGGCAGCAGTGAAGGGAGGGGTGTCAGTCCGTCCCCAGAATCAGTTACTCCACCTCCAACTAATTCATTCATTCAGTCAGAATCTGATTTTTGAATGTAAAATATCTTTATTCGACCTTCTCAAAATGTGTTTCAATAACAGAAATTGTCATCATGGTGAGTTGGAATACTATTCACAAATAGGAATTAATTAGACATTATCATTTTTCAAATCAAAATCAGCATGTCATCATAATCCATGAAAAGCAGCCTCTTTCAGACTCCGTCCACGTGTGTACGATTCAAGCAACTTTATAAAGAGACTCGTACAGTTTGGGGTGTTGAGGTTTCAACAAGCAATCATCCGTTAGTGAATCTGAGATGTAAAGTTTGATGTGACGGAGCGACAATCATCATACCAAAATACAAAGAAAGAAATCCATAACAGAAACTGAAGATTCTGTAGTTAACACATAAAACAAAGATCTCATCAGAAGTACTTGACAAATATCAGTATATCATTCTTTTGTTATACAAAACAGAAACTGATTATTTCTCTTTTTTTCATGATAGATGATGGTATTTTGGCAACATCTGCATTTCAGGAGTAAACAGAAAGTCAGCTATTATCATAACATAAGTCACTGGACATTACTCATTCTTGCCCCCTCCCCGTCCCACCCCAACATTATGTCTTTATACATGATATTGCATGATAAAAACTGTGATGAAATCATTGACATATATCAATGACATTTACATCGTCAACAAACACCTTGTTTGCTGCTAGAGACGGAAATGACTTCTCATTGACTCGTGTGTCCTTGTGTTAGCTTTTCATTCTTTATCACATCTTCACACACTTCTGTAATTCAAGACTGAGGTGAATTCAGATTTGGAGTCCAATCACAAACTAAAAGAAAAAAACAAATCAACTGTCGTCTTTTATTAATATCAAAACTGTTTCCCCGAATCAAGTTGAACATTTGGGGACAACTGTCATTCATTTTCTTAGGTTCAGTTGTTGGAGTTGAAACTGAATTGACCTCAAATCTGCAGTAAAATCCTTCTGGCTTCAGAGCTCGGTCAGGGTGTGTAGTCTTTAGTAGAAAAAAACTACTGTGTCACTACTTGTTTTGCTGGTTCTGCACCACATCTGAATTAAATCAAAAGTTCTTAGAGGCACCTGGAGTGGTACAAATATGTGCTCATCAGGGTTAAGGTATCGTCAGTTCCTTGTTAAGGTATATTTCAGTTCATCGTCAAGTCCTCAGGAACAGAGTACCCGGAGAGGAAACCAGACCAATGATCACACAGGTAATGATGCTTGGAAGCCTGACATGACCACTTAGCCCTCTGGGCTTTTTCCATTGTAATTTTTCTTTTTCAAAGATTTGTTGTAAAATACAATGTGTCCTGGGCCCTGGGAAAGCAATCCTACAGGAGGAGATGTCTAAATCAGAATATATGCCATATGAGACAGTACCGCCTGCTGTATGCAAACTTTTGATATAAAAAAATCACCATGCTGATGTCTCAGCAAGTGCACTGATTTTCTCAAATGAGCATGTACATATCAAAAGCAAAAACAAATTTCTTATGATACCAAATGGATGTAAATACTGTCGTTCACTCTTTTTTCTCAAATGCTCGCAGAGATACTTCAAGGCTGAATTGAAAGAAACGTTTGTTGAATGAGGGCCCAGCGTTCCTACCCTAAGACGGTTGATAGATATAGGCCAAGGTCTGTGCAGAGCCGGCATGGACAGCATCATTAGATTCAGCATAAGGGCTGTTTTCATATTGTCTTAAAGGCCCAGCTTGGAAAATCAGTGGCAGAGGTGCTATTTCATCCAATGCCCAAACCTGCCTAACAAGGTATGCTGTGGAGTGATGTGTCATTTCAGCCATGAGCACATCACAACAGCATCGTCCAACTTGTGTATGTGCTGATCATTTCCACAATGAGCCTTTAATACAGTACTTTGTACACAGCTTCCTGAGAGTTAGCTAGCTACCATTCTAAAAAACATACTGCACATCTAGCTATCTGCTCATTATACTGTATATAGTGTAGGGATGCACCATAAAACCACCTCATCCAATATACAGTTTATTTATCCATGTGTGACATGTAAAGTCACATTCTTGATTTTGTTTTAATATCATTTTTTGATGTAGCTGCTGTATAGTTTGTAAAGGTAAACTGTTTGCCTGATATTTAGGGTTATAACTTTGACTTGTCCACAATGCATGTGTTAATAGTGCATCCCTACCAGAGTGTAAATGCATTACAGTCCAACATAATGCAGTATAATCAGTGACTCACTGGACTGTATTTTCCTTGTGATGTTGCCTGGTAAATAAGCTGCTTTCTTACAGAACGCAGATCACCTTGTGTGGTCAAACCGCTCAGTGAAATGGTTTCAATGACTCCTCAGGGTTTACAGTGTGATCAGGCCTTTTCCCTCCCAAATGACCAGAGCATGCCAATTCCTCAAATGAAACCATTAGCCGTGTGCTTTTATTACACAGCTAATTTCATTCCCGCGATGACTCGGCCCAGGTTTGGTGCTTTAGGAGGCTCAGTTACAGTGTGTCAGCCTGAAGAGCTGCACTGGGAGGGACAAGAGCCCCACGGTGCTCTTGATTAGAGCAGCGTGCTATGTCGCACTGTTCAACCGAAACTCGTCGCATGGTCGAATCGTACCTGGAGCAATGTCACTGATATTGTGACAATCAGAGCCATTGATGCAGACATGGTTATAGAGACAGAAGTTAGTACTGTGCTAATGGGTACAGTGGTGAGTCACAAACTCGAGTAAAACATGCCCTTGCAGGTTTTTTTCATATTAAGTGAGCAGGTTGCAACTTTTTGTTCATGTGACTGAAAAATGGGAGCCAGTTTAAAGTATCTCCCTGGTTGTCATACAAATTCTCAAAGCACAACGGTACAATAAGAGCGCTACAGAAATAATACTGGCTACCACGACCAGGATAGTGTCTGCAGGAAAGGACACAGAGATCATGTCATCTGTATTTCTTCTGGGAATTTGGAATAAATCGCTGCGACAATCGTGAGTGTTTTATAGACGGATCCCAGGATTGTTCGACTCATTGGGCCCTAATGCAAGAATAATCAGCACAGATTGGCTTATATTTCAAATTGCTTGAGCCCCTGTCCACATTAATGCAGGTATTTTTGCAAAACAAAATCCTCCTCTGTGTTAAGGCCTCTTGAGATTTCAAATGCCTTTCTAGCAGACTTTCAAAATCTGGTTCTTTATATCGGTGTGTACATGTAAAATCAAGCTTTTGGGAAACAATGATGTCACAGTTTGCTTTTCCACTATTGCTTTGTGTCATGAGCATGAACCATAACCAAAAACAACAATGGTGGTCATGTATCTATATGTCTAGTTAGCACTGCTAAGTGTAATTACTAATTTGTAGCTAAAATTTGCATCACATTACCAATGTTCAGAAACGTCTGCCTCACCCAATATTTCTCTGTCAACAGGCTTTGTCTCTGGTATTTGATGGATAGTTGACACAGACCGTTGTGTTCTTGTCTCGACGAGATGTTTTTTATTCTAAACAGAGGAAAAATGTCTGCATAAGTGTAGACAAGGCCTTAATAGCTTAATCAAAAATTCAAAGGTGGTCAATTTGAATCCAGAATATAAAGATGGTTTCAAAATCAATCAACATAAAATTGCACAACTTGAATAACTTTTAGCTTTTTTTTATTTTAGCTTCTTTTGAATTAATGATTCTGATTCATCTTTGAACGGAAACTTGAACAGTCCAGTAGTTGCTCACTCTCTCTGATTTGATTCTTTTTAAGAATTATTGTCTTTATTTTTTAGGGTATATTTGCTGTGATATCTGTCCCACTTATGATTCCTCTGACTATTGCAAGCAGCGAAGAGGCATATTAGTGACATCACCTTAAGTGCAGCACTTGGGGCTTCCCTCTGAGAGGAGGCCAACGCCTGTACAGCCATATTCACACGGTCTTAAGACATTTGTAGAGTAAACTGATCACTGTATGCTGGAGCCATAAACTGGAGTAAACTGCACACTGGTGAAGGAAGGGTATAACAAAAGTAGTAAGCTCAGACTTGTAAGTCTTAACTTGGACAGCTGCAATTTAGATTTTTACTATATACTGCAGGGGGTGGTTGTTTTGAGGCCATGCTGATGCAGAGGAAGCATCTGTGTCAAACAATTGTGATCAAACACACAATCACTTTGATCCACGGTGCTCTGCTTTTCTCTGGAATATCCAGCACAGATATTCCCCCTTTGTCCAATCCCACCAGATCTGTAGTGGAGTCATAATATAAACACAAAGGATCAGCACATACTCCGATGCTCTTCCAGCACGAGGAACACTGAAACCAAGAGTAGAAATACTATACTCGAATGCATTGGAGTCAGATGAGGTTTTGTTGTCGGCTGTTTCTGTCAGCAGTAATGTTATTTACATTGTTCAGTATGTACAGTAGAGAATCTCCCAGAGATGTTAGGTTCTGTAAAGCTGCAGAGGGGTTACTCCTTTTAAATTCCTCGCCTTTGAAAGTCCCTAGATGAAGAGCCATACAAGTCCCGTTTGAAATGTTCCCAATGGCTAATAATGGACTTGCTGCAGTATTGCGAGTCTCGACTCTTGTCACCATACGAGAAGAATCAATGATCTGCTTTCTGAAGCTATGGAACACAACAACACACAAACTCAAAGTCAATAAATAGCAAAATTTGAAATAAATTGTTAAAATCATAGCCGGACATTATGGTTCTTCATCTCAAGGATTGAACTTCTCACACAAATCAAGACTTTAATAGAGTAAATCTTTTTTTTTTCCATCATAAAGGTTTTAGTTGAGAAAGTCGAGTGTTAAATGCACTGTACAACCTTGTACAACTTTTTTTTTCAAAATATAGTTTATCCCAGTGTGTTCTGTTGTTTGTCTTTTTTTTTTTAATCTTGCAGAATCCTGTACACTTGGTGTCTGCATTGAGATTGGGTGATATCCTGATCATTGGAGAGAATAGAAGAAGAGAGTAGAAAGAGAGGAGAGAGGAAAGAAAGAGATGGATGAGAGAAGAGATGAGGAGAAGAAAAGTCGGCCAGTGCTGCGTCATCACTCTCAGTGAAGACGCTGCACTCCGTACCGTGGCTCTCTTCTGTCCCGAACCTCAATCTGAAAAAAGAGAAAAATAACAGGCAGAGCGATATCATCGTGATGTCATCAGGATTTTCTTTTTTCAACAAAAATACTACACGACAAACGGGGAGAGTGAAGTTTTAAAAAATGAACAGACTGGGAAATGTAACTGGGAATGTATGATGAACAGATACTGTGCATGTATAGAACTGCATCATAGGATAAAGCAGTGTAGGACCGCAGCACCTTGGGGTGTCTTACAGATGGACCATGGTTGTTATAGGCTTTAAAACTTTTGCATTTAATGTGTACTACATTATAACTCAACTATTAGTGTATATCGCATATTCAAATGTTTGAACAAGGAAGAAATAAGCACTGTGAAAATCACCCTCTTAAAATGCTATTAAATATGCAGGAGTGGGACTAGCCAGGACTGATGACGACAAGCAAAGCAAGAGATGGAAAGACTTGTGCCTCAAAATAGAGCTCAAAGAAATGATCGTACATCTGGCCTGTGTCTTTTCCGCTCAATGAATTAAAATGTTTAATAAGGTGTAAGCATTTTTCAGTCCCTTGAGGTAAAATGTGTCTGAGAGACACCAGGAGAAAAAGCACTCCTGTTTGACTCAGAGTAGAAACTGAAAACTTCAAGTGACAAGAGGAGCATGATAATCTGAGCAGATGCATGATGTCGTCTGTGGTTTGACATGATTGTGGCGGCAATTGACAAGTCAGAAGATCTTTAAAATAAAGATTATCAGATTACTTCCTCCACCAAGGATATTATGTTTTCATCAGTGTTCGTTTTCTCTTTTAGCAGGATTACCCAAGAACCATTGGACAAATTACCACTAAACTTGGTGGAAGGATGCAGTATACATATTGTTTTTCACTTTTTTTGACATAATATTTATGAGTATGTGTAATTTGGTGCAGATCCAAATAGAAAAACTGGATGTAGTGAACTCTGAGCCTCGACGGATGTATGAGCTCTACAATGTGCCATTTTACTTAAGTTTCACATTTGTGTCAGAATCTGCAGATAACACAAAACATAATAAAAACTGTCAGATTATAAATTTTAAATTACTTGGCCTTTCAACAACTGTATAGTGCTCAGAAGCTAACGTGGCGTGTTATGTATTCCTCCACTACAATGCACATACACAAGCATAAAGCAAAAGTCAACTTACCCTTGACACAGCAAAATCTGCAAGGACAGGAAAGAACAAAAGTGTTGGCCTTTACATTGTGAGCCAAGACCATAAAAATTGCACATTTGTGCAAAACATGAAAATGCATATGTAAGCAAGAGTTAAGCTTTTTAGTTACTTCTACTGATGAAAAAAAAAAAAGTAAAAATTATTTGCAACCTATGTCCAGCTTATGTCCTCAGGTCTAACACTGGTGCTCTCATAGGAGCTTACATTTTAACTCTCACTTACTGCAACTGCTGTCCAGGACTGTCCATAGGTTACCACTTTTATTCAGTCAATACAAAGAGCTGAAGACATTTATATGTATAAGAGGAAACCGAGTGGGGAAAAAAAGGAGCTTTGCACAGCTGATGAAGCATCAGATGTGTAAAAATCATTGAGACAGCCAGTGAGGTTAATCAGATAAGAAACTGAGAGACACGCCCACTCTCTGGAATATCTCCAGTTACCATGGAAACAATCACAGAGATAGACTGTCGGAAGACTGAGACATCTCATGTCACTATTTTCTCTCTTTATCTCTTGGCCTCCTCCTCTCACTCCTCTTTATCTGTCTGTATATCTCTCACATTCTCTACTACATCTTATGTCATACGTCTCCATCTTTTTTCTGCCTCTTTCGTCCGAGCTGTTTTATTTCTGTGCTGTTGTACGTTGGGTTCATGGAGGCGTATCAAACACATATTCTTTATACGAGGAGAGTTTTTATTGTTTTGCAATGTGTCTTTTACTGCGGCTCTTCCATCGTCTTTGTCTGCCATTCCTCTCCTCCTCTTCCTCTCTTTGCACGCAGCTGAAACAATGCAATCTAACAGACCTGATGCAACATCATGCAAACTGTCAGAAACCCTCTGGAGGACCACTCTTCGATACAGCGCTGAAAGCAATTTGGCTGGAGTTGCTGAGGTCAGGATGGAGCATAGTAATTTTTCATCTGGGATAATCGTGTTCTTGTTAATGGCCTCATCAACGACGGGATGAAGAAATGGCTAACCAAGCTCTTTCTTTTCTTTAAATTTCATATATACAGGTTTATGATCATTTCAATTTACAAGTCATCATATTTTGTTTAACGAGATTTGGTCTATCCTTTATATTTGATCCTATATCATTTAAAACAACACCAGTGAGCGATATTGCAGCTTTATTTTTTTTAATTTTCTGACCAAATAACTGTTTTCCAAGGTTTTGCTTCAGATATATCTGACCAGATAGTGTGTCGTTGACAACTTCAAATTTCAAAGCAGTAGTAGAAGAACAACTTCCTGCTCTGTTCTACCTGATATCATGTTATTATTGTCTTTTTAAATAGCTTATATGAAGCCATGAGCTGAATGTCAGTGGTTGCGGAAGTTCTTCAAGCTGTGCAACCGATGCCTTGAAGGGCCATTGTAAGTGGTTGACCATCTGTCAGTGACACACTTCTTGTGGGAGATCTTACCAAAGTTACATATGCCCCATTTCCAGTAATGAAAAAACCCACAAACAACTTCTAACATTTGGCTTTTGTCTGCGTTTGGAATGGATACCATCGGAAAATGTTCCTTCTTTTATTGGCTCCAGCTCTGATCGGCAGTGATGGAAACCAAGGTGAACATGCTAATTTGGCAAGACAGCAAGGATAAGGAACACCACAGTTTATGGTAATTTTGTGAAGTCAATCATGACCAAACCAGGGAATAAAAACAGAAAGATAAACTGCTCTTGTGGCAATGGGAAAGGAGTCAATTCCCTTTTAATAGGGGGTTTACCCAAACTTAAAAATACTTTGAATATCCGCTTATTTTGGTATCTTAGAATATAGGACAAGATGGTGGATATCCCATATTCTAAAATACCAAAATTAGAAGTGAACCATCAAAATGACTTTGAAGTTGCTATTTTTAGAGAAATTAGTTGCACAATATTATTTTTAAATACATTTAAAAAGTAACCTCCACGTCAATGAAACTGCTCATTTGAACAACAGTGTCTAAATGTAACTATGCCAGTATTACTAGGCAGGGCAGGTCTGTCATCTGTAGTCACCGTCTGCCAATGCTGCCTCCCTTGTTTTTGCATGTGAACACAGCAGCGAGGAGGGGGAGGGCGGCTGCACGCTCTCATGAACATGCAGGGCTCTGTGCCGCAGCCATCAGAGTTTATGATGGTTCAACTTCAACCCAATCTGCTGAGCATTATATTAGTTAAGAGTAAAATTATTTCATCAGGATATAATATTTAAGCCATTACTTGATTGTAAGCATTTCATTGTCCCTTTACTTACCTTTGTTATCTGTCTGCAGATCATCGAGATAGAAGTCTGTCTGCCTGTTGCCCAGGACGAAGGCCAGGAAGGAGAGGATGAGGGCGTCCAGGATGCCCATGATGGCCAGCATATAGGCCCAGCGTACAGAACAATCCCCCAGGGAATATTTCCCTGTCTGCTCCCCGCACATATCCCGGATCACCTCGGCATCCCAGCCGTCAGGGAAGATCATGCAACCCAGCACCAGGCACACTCCTGCAGGAGGACAAAGAGTAGTGGAGCAGCAGGATTAAGGTGTGAAGTTGGATCAGGGAGAGGGGTAAGTGTGGTATAAATACAGAGATTAGAGGGGAATGAAGAGAGAGTACAAGGGCGATAGGGGAGCAAGGAATGAGGAGTAAGTAGGCACAAGTGACAGATTCCTCAGATCAGAAATAAGGGTTGAGAAATATTGTTGCTTAAGGCTATATCCAAACTATCCGTAGCGTATTAGTAACAAATCAACAAATACTCAATCAGCTTTCACTCGAATGACTCTGCAGTGGACTTGAGTTTTTATTGGCTCTGGTTCCGATTGGCTCTAATTGGAAACATGACATTCAGGTGAATGTGTTCATTTCTGCCTGAACTTCCGATGTGTACGTATTGATTTTTACATCTTGGGACAGCGATTTTGTTTCTTCTTCTTATCATACAAAATGCAAACTTCGCATGAAAGCAAAGTGAGAGAGCTTCTCAGTGACATCAAACATGACTTACCAGGGGAGACATAAAAGAAATGCAAAGAGTTAGCCGCCTTTTCGCAGGTTTACTTGTGTATACGTGTTCATTTTGGGGTAAAAGAGTTATTGTCTGTCAATCCATTTTTTTGGCCGCGGGAGGGACAGACTATCTGTGAAAATGAGTTTGTGTATTGTTCAAAGAAACTTCACGCTGATGTGGTGGATTTACTATCCAGGGCATTGTAGCCACATTTTCTTGAACATGAGGGTTAGGGAAGTGTGTGGGAGAGGCAGCACAAGCTGTTTGTGTTGAAAATGAGATGCTACATCTCAAGGGGCTACTTTCCTATTTGCATTCCTGTTTTTTTTTTTTTAAAAAGCCTGCTGAAAAAGTAAATGACTTTACAGGCAGACCTAACTTCTCTCATGCTGCTGTGGCTCTTGGACTGGCTGTGGTCAGGGAGTGGGGGGGAGCGGCTGCAGGAAAGAACCATCAATATGTTGTGAATCTGAGAACATGTCACTGATCCTTCAAGGGGTTTGTCACCTCCTTTGTTTCTGTTCGAAAGGATTGAACTTTAACTGTTTTCCCACTGAGAGAGTTGCATTAGTTTGCTTGGGCCTGTGTTTGAATAAAGGTTCCTCAGTCATCACATACAATACATAATTAAAAAAATGAGAAGAACAATATTTAGATTCTAAATGATGAGATGAAAGAAGCTTGAAGGTAATAATAAAAGCTAATTATGAAGCTACTTAGAGTAGCTCACTTTAGTTTGACTTTTTCCCCTTTTGTAGTTTTGAAAATAGTTATCACAATGACGTCACTGATATGCATTTAACATGTGACATAATTTAGCAACATCTCGCACCTTTAGCAGCATTCCACTGCAGCTGCTGGAGTTTCCTGAAACTTATTGGAAGGACGCGGTGTGTGTCAGGGAAGAACCCATTAGATTTTGGTGCGCATCTGGATTAGAGGTCCAGGTTTGTTTTTTTTTTTACTTTCTATAAATTGCAGTATTTGGTGTTTGCTGCTGCTCGCTATTCTAAAACTCTCACTTGGCGTGTTCAATAGATATTGGGAAGTTAATGACACTGAAAGATTTGAGTCTACAGAAAGGGAGGTGATGTCAGCAGCACACCAGAGAATTGATCGATCCCATTGAATAGTTACTGAGGGCAAACAAGAGAATTCAGAAATAGTTTTTGGGAATCCAGCTTTGAGTTTCAGTCATGGTTGCTTTCTATGTGCAGCGTAGTGCCTGCGCTCAAAACTCACATTTATGTGGTTCTACAAACTCACTCAGCCCCTCTCTGTGATTAATGATCATTGTGGTTATAGTCTAAACTGCTGAGTTTGGACACCTGCATGTGTGGAGGGTTTAATAATGAAAAAGAAAGATTGAATAACGTGCGCACTGTATACATTAGTCATCTAGAGACAACTTAGAGGGTGGGAGGAATTTAAAACATACAGATCACACATGAACCTGCTTGCAGTACAAAACCCTGTGGGGAAATCCATACATGCAATTTTGACACTCCAACAAAAGTGGTAATCCATACTTTATACCTTTGCTCATTTATCAAAGTGAGCATCACTGGGGATCTGATTGTGCCATAGTCTGAGCTCACCAGCACTGTTTAAATAGCAGTCAGTCTGTGCCTGAGGGGCTGGAAGTAAAGCAGTGGGCTCCACTGGGAGACGGGGAACATACATGGCAGGAATCACACTGAATCTTTATTCCAGACCAGACATATCTTTTTCCACATCACTTGTGATACAGATGAAAAGTCAGATAGATTTGGTCAGTGATTATAAATTCATCAGTGCAATAAATGTTCAGATAGATTCAATGTCTAGCGCTCAACTGGTCTGCGATTGTGAATATTTCAGCTGCCATGTGTGTAATGGAAAGATGTTGGGCAGTTTTCAAAAACAGTAGCTGCAGTGTGGAGCGAGGGTGCACGGAGGGATAATACTATCCGTGATTTCTGCTGGTCAACAAAGGGTTTAGACAGAATACTGGCAGATACATCAGTCCTGAGTCATCTATCTATTTTTAAAAATGTGCAGTAGCTAATGCATTGATTAAAGTCCAACTGAGATGACAAAGGATCTTTGGAGATGCATCAGAAATGCTCAGGAGACACAACATGAACAGACTCATGCAGAGTAATGACCTCACCTGAGGACAAATCATATTTTGTCCAACATTTGCACACATGTTTAGTAAGTGTGCTAATTAGCCAAATAACCCGTAGCCTGCTTATTCATGTGAGCGCCATGTTACTGTCACCACACCACAGACGTAACTAGCTCAGTACGTCTGAAACCCATTTCACCCCTCCTCCCATCTTCCTACCCCTTAGCCCTCCCCCTCCGTTTTGGTAGGGGCAAGTGTGAGGGCTATACAGCGCTGGAAACTGAGGTTTTTCAGACCCACACCTCGAACTGAGGTCTGTGAAAATTTCCCAGAATGCCTTGCAAATCACTGGCAAGATAGCTGCAAAGTGACTCGAGAGACCCACAAATGTTCTCCATTAATAAGGATTTGAAAATTACGATAATAATTGTAGTATCTCCTTTTCACTACAACCTTTAAAAAATTGCTACCGTTACACCTGCCGATGTCTCTCTAATTTCCATGCTAATGTTACATCGTTATTGCTGATTTATACACGCAGCCCCTCTTTAAAGATGCACGATGCACTTGATTTAACCAGCGTATAGCAGCGAGGTCACTGAACTTAACTGCTCCTCGTTGCCTACAGACCACTGCTCGTAGACTGAAGCAATGTGTTTTCGATTTTCATGTGAAAAAATATCGTTGTTCCGTTGTTTAATTATGTCTGAAGAACTCAATCACTCACACTGTTTACCCCTGAGACTCCTAAAGTGTTTTGTGGACTCAAACACTTCACCCAACCCTCCAGTGGCATAGTGGTGAATAGATAATGAGTGATTTTTAAGTGAACTTTAATGTACTTCATTCTCTTTGCAATCGTGTATGTCCAGGTGCAGATTTTTCCAGTAAGTTTGGTTTTAATAAGTCATTTGATGATAAAAATAGACTGAGGCATCATGATTGACAATTGGTAATAACTCGAGATCTGGAGCGTATGGTTGGGAGCAAGGTGTACGACAAAGACGAGAATCAAAGAGGGGATATTGGAGCTATACTACCCATCATGCATTGGGTGACTGAACACAGCTCTCTTTCTCTTTTATTTTCTAAAAAGATATAACAGGACATTACAAAGCAGAATTTTGAGCTGTAGCAAAAGATAAACATGCAGTTAAATTTTAGCTTGACTTTAAAGCGTGAATGGATTTCGACAAAGTGCCGAACTGCAAGAGAGTGTTGTGCTCGTGGGGTATGAAGGTGATGCATCTGAGTTTATTAAAGTGAAGTCCATTAGTCATATGGTTGAACCTTGTCACATCAGCCATTCCCTTTGAGGACCCCGTGTTTCATCTATATGAGCTATCCATCATGAGAAAATGGTGGGTGGTGAACTCATGGCAACAGATGAGGGAGGTTACGAGATTAGTCACCACCTCCCTGTGTAAAGCAAGAAACCATGCAAATATGAGGAATCTTGTTTCAAGCTGAGATGTGCACCATTTGAAAATGTGACCGCTCATCTGACAAAATAATTGCAGGTATAATGAGAGAATGTAATGAGAAGGAATATAATGACGATAATACTGTAAGTAATGAGAGAATAAAGGAGTGATGGAGGTAATCATCATGGGAAATCATCATGTTATTAGCTTCTTTTATGACCCTTACGCAAGATATTAACATAGAAGGGAGGTGATAAAATCATTAACTGTGTAATGAGTGTCATGTAACATGTTTTATGGATTTTGGATGAATGTTTCCCCATCTGCCATGAAAGTCATCCAGAGTTATTGAGGGTGGGCCTTTTGAAAATGTGAAAACAGAGCCAAGAAACCTGACAGGAAAGACCAGGCAGCGCTTTAATCAATCATTTTCATTAACAGTACAGTATATGTGGTAGGGCTAACACCAGATTTGTGGATTTTACTAAAACACCTTATGTGTTTACGCTGTGAACATTTAAAGTCATATTTTCGGTATTGAACAATTTTTTGGTTTGAATCAAATTTTAGAATTATTTTACAACACAAGAAAAACTATGGATAGTTACAATGCTGGTCATTTCCATTGGTTTGGTCGTCAAGTGCGTAATCTCAGCAATGACTTTAATTACTTTAAAAGTTATCATGACTGAGAGGACTAATAGGAGGACCTCTGAAACTACAACTGATATAACCTAGTTTTCCTTCAAGGTGAACATGGTGTTATTGTGTCATTATCATGCATTATCAGACCATGTACTATTTATTCCAACCATATAACCAAAAATTGCAAGATTCATTTAAAGTTTAAATACGTTTTGCTCCTGAGTGAATTTTTATTTCTTTAGCACATTTCTGAGATGTTTGGTATTCTATAGTTTTATGAAATGTGAGAATATTTTATCTCATGAGTCCTGAGC